GGCTACTCAAATATTTTACGTTTTTGATACTAAATTAACATCTGAAGTATAATTTTTTATTGTTTTTATATTTTTCAATATATTTACTTTGTCTGTACAAAATAAAAAAATAATTTTTAACGATACAATAGTCTTTGTTAGGCTTAACATCGACGAAAATTCAACGCGAAGCGACACGCAACGGAGAAAAATTTCAACATCGGATACGTTAAACTATTTTTTTGTACATAAATCAGTTATCCGAAATATCAGTTATACGAACAACCCCAGTCCCCAATTGATTCAGAAAATCGACGCTCTACTGTAGTTCATAAAATTTAAACTTTAAGAAATTGTATCAGCAGACTTCAAGTTTTATTGTAATATAAAACTGTGATGTTTAATTCAAAATACACACAGTTTTCATAGCTTACAATTAATATTAAAATAGTGATCATTAATTAATATAGATTTTCATTTACAGGATGAAATTGATCAAGTAATACTAGCAGGTGCTGCTACAAGGACTCCTAGAGTACAGCAGAAATTATTGGAAATTGTTAAAAAACCTGAATTGGGCAAAAACATCAATACTGATGAAGCTGCTGCCTTAGGTGCTGCATATCAAGCAGCTTATTTAAGCAAGGGTTTTAAAGTAAAAACATTTGTAGTGAAAGATGCTAATATTTATCCAATTCAGGTATATTTGTAATTTACTTCAAATTCTATGCAATAGATCATTAAATTTCTATTTGAAATGTATTTTTCTCTTAATCAGTAAATATCTGTACAATGATTTAATTTTAATTTGTTCCATTTTCAATCTTCCATGTGCTACTGTATACTTTAGAAATTCTTATATTATTTATTTATTAGCATCTTAAATAATTTTGAAGATAATATATCATTAAAAGATACATAATTTACTATTATTCTTTTATGTATTTTTTGAAATTTCTAGTGCATTTTCACCAATCTGAACTAATTTTTATGCAGGATCATTTAAAGTAGCAGGGTTGCACATTAAAAATTTGAAGTAAAAAAAACTTCAGGCAAATTTGACATGCTTTTAAAAATTAATTCTTGATTTGTTTTTGGCTGGAGCATTTTTTTATTTTTATACATTAAATCTAGCAATGTCTTGAAGACAATATATGACACCCTTCTGCTACAACACCAATAACAAAACATTAAAAACATGCAAAACAATAGCTATTATTTAGAAAAAAGCATTTTTTACAGAAATAACTTTAAATTTGGAGGAATCAAGGAATAGTTTATCTTCAATTTTAGTGGCAGTTATTTGATGCTGATAGAAAAATCTAATTGTTACATTAAGGCAACAATATGATTTATAAATACAAGATGATAATCTGGTATTAAAGGAATATGAATGTAACTACAGTGTGAAGGAAGTAAGCCATTAAAATGTTTATAGATACAAATGTGATCTCGATTTAATCCAACATATTGAATGTTTTGAAGTCCAAGACAGATTTGTGCAACATCAGGAATATTAGTAGTTGGCAGATGTAAAAATTTGTTGAGAATAATGAAAATTTTGTTAAGTTCCATATTAAATTTATTTAAAATTGATGCAGAGGCTGAATCCCATATGGGTAATGCCCAGTCAATAATAGATTGGATGTTAGCAAAAGAAAAAAAAAATGAAAGAAAGAAAATAGTGTGGAGAGTGTTTTTATTTATTTTTAAAATCACACCAGAGCTTACTATGTTGGATGGAAATCTTTTTAATTAAGTTTTCTCTGTGTAGATGGAAAGGAAGCTGAGTATTGAAAATGACACCAAGGTCACAAGCACACAGATCAAATGAAAGAAATGCTTCAAATGATGCTACAGGATCAAAGTCATTAGGAAGTCTTGGAGTGGATACAAAAATTCCACACAGCTATGCAAACCTTAAGAAATGCATTAACATAAGTACCTGGAATGTTAGATCTTTATATCAAATGGAAAAAGTAGAAAATGTAATGCATGAAATGAAAAGACTGAAGATCTCAATATTAGTGATCTCTGAAACAAGGTGGGCTAGAAAAGGAGATATTACCACTAACAAAGAAATAAGATTCATCTACTCAGGAGGAACGGAACATCAGCAAGGAGTTGGAGTGATGCTGGAAAATATGGCTAAATTGCTTGACTAATGGCAAGTATCTGATAGGACTATAGATTGAGGATAGATGCTAAACCAAGAGGTCTTTTCTTAATCCAGATATAAATGCCAACAAATGACCATTCAGATGAGGAGACTGAGGAGGTTTATAAACAAATAAATGTTTACAACTTAAAAAGAAGGGAGATGTAGTGATTATTATGGGGGGACATGAACACCAAGATCGGAAGAGAAAGAAAAGATAATGTAATTGGACCATGGGACGTAGGAGAAAGAAACAAAAGAGGAAGTAGACTTGTTGAATTTTTCATAAGAAGCAACATGATTGTAACTAACACCTGGTTACAACAGCATGAAAGAAAATTGGCTACATGGAGAACTCAAAGGTTAAGAGGAACAGAAACAAGAAACCAAATTGATTATATTCTAGTCATCTACAAATTCATAATGCAATAATTAACACAAGGACTTATCCAGGTGTGGATTGCAACAGTGATCATAGTCTACTGGTAACAAAATTAAGAATAAGGTTGAAACATGTAAGGCCCAAAAAAAAAGCAAAAGAATGGTTCAATATAGAGATGTTGAGGAAAGACTGCACCAAGATGACTTTTCAGGCTGACATATCGAGTAGACTTCTAAATTTCAACACTAACAGAAACACAGAAGAAATCTGGAATAATTTGAAACAAAAATTAAAGTCACTGCAGTTGACAACCTCAGCAAAAAAGGGAGAAAAATAAAGAAGTCTTGGGTCACAGAGGTGATGGTAAAAAAGATGGATGAAAGAAAACAATACAAAAATGCTAATAACATGAAAGAACAAAAAAATATAGAATCATTAATAAACATATAAGAATAAGGTGTTAACAGGCAAAGGAAGTGGTTGAATCAATTATGTCTGGAAATGGAGCACTACACAAATGGGAACAATTTAAGAGGAGTATATGAAAAGTTAAGCTTAATCTCATGGAGAAAAAGGAAATGCAGAATTAGGGCTCTGAGAGATGAAAATGGAAACATTTTATTGCAGAAAGATGAACAAAGGCTAAGATGGGAAAGACAATCTCTATGAAAATGAGGACAATTTAAACCTAGAAGGGATGGAGAAGAAAGAAGAGCATGCAACCTTTCTTGAGGAAGAGATTGATGCTGCATTGAAAAAGCTCAGAGACAGAAAGTCACCAGAAATAGATGAAATACAAGAACTTCTTAAGGCTATGGAGAAAGATGGAACAAGAATCCTAACTAATTTTTTAAACAAAATTATAGAGGCAGATATTCAACATGATTTCACAAAATCTATCTTCATCCCTGTTCTTAAAACTGTGGTTATCTTAGACTGTGATAAACATAAAACTATTAGCTTGATAAACCATGCTTCAAAGGTTTTAGTTAACATCATACAGCAAAGAATAGAAAAATACATAAGATGAACCACAGTTTGATTTCTGAAGAGACATAGAGACAAGGTATGCCATTACGATGATAAGACTAAGGAGAAAGAATGATAGATCATAATAGAGAGTTATTTCTATGTTTTGTCGACTTTAAGAAGGCCTTTGATAATGTTAATCAAATGCTGTTGTTTGAGATTCTCCAAAAAATAGGTATTGATAAAAAAGTTACTGAGAATAATCTATAACATCTATAAAAGTCAAAAAGTAATGGTTAGATCTTAGGGAGATAATATCAAATGGATTCCGATTAAAAAGGAATAAGACAGGGATGTGATTTGTCTCCAACACTTTTTAGCTTCTACAGTGAATGGATGATGAAAGAAGTGTTCAAAAATTTAGACGAAGGTGTAAAAATTAATGAATATCTTATCAATAACATTAGGTATGTTGATGACATTTCTCTGCTATGCAACACTAAAGAAGGGTTAGATTGAAAGAAATGGAAAAACAAAATGCCAAATGAAAATGAATGTGAACAAAACAAAAGTTATGATAATCTCAAGAGAAAAAACAAAGATCTAAAGATTGTTAGATGGAAAGAAAATCAATCAATCAATGCTTTATTGTTTGAACCTTAGTTCGTTACAAGGGGATAACAGAAACAAAAGTTAGTGATAATAATTAACAAGTTAATAATTTAATACAACATAACACAAAATAAAACATAGAATAATACTCAGTATTTGAAAAACACGATATATTAATAATATCTTTCCAAGACTTAAACCTTAATAAATACTTGTCTCTACCAACTCTAAATTTAACACAATGAAGAAATACATGTTTCCAAGTTTTGTATCTTTACATAATACAGTTACTACATATTTTTTCAGGATCTATTGTTAATCTGCTATTATATGTTAGGATATAATTTTGACTGCATCTCAAATGAAGAATTAATCGTTTAACATAATTTATATCCATAAGCAAATAATCTTCACACATAAATGAAGTTTTAATGCTACAATATAATTGAAAGTATTTATTCTTTTCTAACAGAGACCAGTCTTCTTGTATACTTTGTTTACAGCACAATTTTATAATTAATGGTTGATAACATTTGATCAAATGAGGATTTTGAGATAGCCATAGAAAAGAAAAACCAAGTTGTTCAAACAGATTTTGCAGTGCAAATGCTCAATTATATGTGCAATCCTTTGTCATTGAACACAATCTGTAAAGTTTATTATATGCTAGTTTAACATAGCTTTTATCATCAAATTTTAAGAACCATATCCAAAATAAAATAATTACTTTTATTGTGATTACTGATATTCTATTATAGAAACTCCAAACTCCAATTGCAACATGTATGCTGGAATTTTATTGTATAACATGAAGATTTTTCTAAAATATAAAGCAAGCATGATTTCCAGTTTATCATAGTAAGTGATTGCCCATATAGGAGTGGCATAGAGCAGTGTTCCGCAACCGGTGTGCCGTGGCACACTGATGTGCAATCACATGGTGAAAGGTGTGACGTGAACTTTTACGTATTCTGTTAATTTCAAATTTTATTTATATATTTTTATTACACTTGTTGTGTTTCTTATGTATGTATGCTGTATGTTCTTATGTATGTATGTTGTTGTGTTTCTTATGTTATCATTTTTATGTATTTCATTCTCTGCCGCAGCACTGATGAAATAAGATGATGTTTGTTTATTCTTTATTACAAGCCACCCATTTTTATGTATTCTAATAAATTATATGTAAAGAAAATTTGCTAACAGGTGTNTTATTGTACAATTTACGTAAAAATTTATCCTTTCTCCTTTTGATACTTTGATTTTCTATAGTCTTGCTTAACTACATTTTTCCTATCAAATATCGCAGACAATCTTATGATGAAAAAATATACTTCAACTTTAAAAATTTTTATATGCATTCCTATTAACACTTTTTTTTTTTGATAATATAGTTTTCAATACATTTATCTTCAAAATCATTCTTTAAGATAATTATATTCAAAAATCTATTAAATCAATATATATATATAAAGCCTGATTTGATAGCCAATAACAAATTAAAAAGTTGTGTTCTTTTGGGATTAAAATTAAGCTAATTATGAGTAATTAAATAATCCAAATTTCAAAATTTATTTAA